GGAAAAGAAGGGAAGGATAAAGGGGAAGGAAAGGAAAGATAAGGAGAAAGGAAGGGAAAAATAAAGAGAATGGTTCATCACTCAGCATGAAAGAAGCATGAAAAGATTCAGTGATAGCCTTATCTCCTTATGTTGTTTAATTATTGAGACTACGGTCATAAATTATCTGTATGTAGTATCCAATACACCCTTCTCTTTCCTTTATCCTTCCCTTCCTTTCTCTTTATCCTTCCCTTCTTCATCTTTCCCTTCCTTTCTCTTTATCCTTCCCTGTCTTTATCTACCCCTTCTTTTCTCTTTATCTTTCCCTTCCTTTCTCATTCATTGGGGATGCAAGTTTTCCTTGGCAAGAGAAAGGACAGCATCCGGATATTGCTTGCCCTTATATAAATAAGCATTAACCATTTTAAAACACAGCCACATCCAAGGACTACACCCCATGTCCAGACATAATCAATCGAAAAGGATGCAGACAAAACACTGGAGCTGTTCTTTCATATTAGAGCACAAAATCCTCCCGGGCAAATAAGCCTGCTATTCTAAATTTGGCATGGGGGGATATGCATGGGGCCGATGATTCACAGGAAGACAGACAAGCAATTCTGTCTCGAAAGCCTGTGGAGTAATCCCTTTTCATCCTTGGTTATAAAGAGCTTGACTTTTTTTTTTCCCTTGCTCCTCTAAGACCAATCTGTCACTAATTATATGGATTTAAGGTGCACCTCTGGGGGATGAGATAGGCCGGAGGGGCAAGGTAGCAACAGTCTGAATTATGTATTTTCTTGAAAGAACTCTTACTGCACGGTTCCAAAACATGAGGGTGGTTTCCTACATTTCCTACCGTACAGGTAGTCCTCGACTTACAACAGTTCATTTAGTGACTGTGCAAAGTTACAACGGCACTGAAAAAAGGAACTCATGGACATTTTCCACCGTTATCACTTTTGCCTCACAGTCACATGATCAAAATTCAGATGCTTGGCAACTGGCTCGTATTTATGATTTATTTATGACCGTTGATGGGTAGCAAGGCCATGCAATTCAGTTTTTTGACCTTCTGACAAGCAAAGTCCAATGGGGAAGCCAGATTCACTTAACAACCGGGTTGATAGCTTTATCAACGGTGGTGATTCACTTAACAACAGTGGCAGGAAAGGTCATAAAAACGGGACAAAGCTCACTTAACAAATATCTCGCTTAGCAACAGATATTTTGAGCCCCAACGTGGCCGTAAACCGAGGACTACCTGTATTTCATTCAGGGGAAATCATCCCCCTCTCCCTCCCCCCAACATAATTAGGCACAGCATAATTTAAACAGCCGTTATCCTTGGTAAAGCATGATCAGCCAAGCTTAACCTCTGCAGTTTTCAAGTAAGCCTGCTTTAAGTACCGTAGCACTAATATAACTGCTATTCTCTTTCTTAACTAACTTAGCGAAACTATGCAAATATAAAAAATGCTTGCTAGAAAAGGAACTAAATAGCTACGTAACGGTCACATGCAGCAAGTACAGTCTTGACTTAACATTGTTAGTTTAACGACAGTTCTGACGACCTTGGGGGGGGGAATGATTTACGACCACCCCTGTGGTTACACGGTCACAATTCGAGCTACTTGGCCAATGGCTCACATTTATGACCGGTTGCAGTGTCCTGTGGTCACGTGACCATGATTTGCGCCCTTCCCAGCGGGCTTCCCCAACAGAAAAGTCAGTCAGGAAAGCTGAATTTGCTTAGTGATCGTGTGTGTAGGTTAAAATAGTAAAAAAATGATCATAAAATCGGGTCCAGGGATGACTTGCTTTGCAACCTCAACGACTCACGATGGAATTACGACCCAATTGTGGTCATAAGCAGGGGTGGTATTCACTTTCCTTCCCTACCGGCTCGCAAATGATAGCGCTTGCGTGCGTGCATGTGCTCAACCTTACACACATGCGCTTTGGCTTTTAAAAGTGCCTAAATGGGATGTCACAGAGCCGGGGAGCATGGGCGAAGCCAGCCACAGTTTCCACTACTGGTCATAAGTCAAGGACAACCTCTATGGTATTGTACATACTCCCATTAAAAAAACACTATAAAAATGTCAGAATTCTATAAATGTTTTCATCCAAACTTCTCCCTTCCTCACCTTTAAACTAGTAAGCTTACATCTCTTCATGGCCACAACTGCAGTTCTCACACTCAAGAGGAGAAAGCTTTCAATTTCATGCTAATATAGGTTGCCCTAAAGGACAAGATAATTTTTTAAAAAAAAACCCCTCTTGGCTTCAGAAAGTGGTCTGCTTCTTTTTTCGGTAGCCCTTCTCCAAAATAGTCTTTCTGCCCCAGGTGTAGATTTTCAGCTCCCGTGGCTGGAAAATTATAAAATATACTGAGTTTTGGTGTACATAGCACGCAGCGATCTAAATTGGAAGGGCTATCAAAATAAATGCATGACATCACGCATAAGCAATGAGATGCTTGAAGGTTTTTTTCCATGCCTGGGTGATCTATTTTGTTCTTTAAATGATGGGGAGAACTTGAGTGAGTGTTTTATAGCAAGCAAATCCTCCTGTGGGAATTCCATGAAAATTTCAAAAGTGCCCTCAATATCATACAGCAAATATTTCCAAGGGAAGACAGCAGATTAATTAAACCATTTGAACTTTTTTTGAGACCTGGGATGTTTCCGGGAACATTAGAAAACCATTATGTGGTTACTTGCCCTCACTTGTTTTTGGCATCAGCCTGTCTCCAGCAATGAAACCTGGTAAACATTTTGTTTACTTGCAAACAGTTCGGCCCAGTGGCAAATCCTGAAGAGTTGCTGACTGGAAAAATGTATTCATCTATTAGGACAGCCAGGCAGGATGGAACCTGTGCTTTGCTTAAGTAAGACGAAAGCCTTGGCAGAGATGTTAATCTTCCAGAAAACCCAACGCTATTCTCTAAAATCCCCTGAGCTTTCTTCCCACATCCATTTATCTCCCCACACACTTCTAGATGTTGTTTTTCTCCCCCCAACACAGAACAAAATCAAACAAAAATCACACTGGAGTCTACTGAGGAGGAGACTCAAATTGGAAATGGTTGTTAAGGAAGCAACAGCTAAGATATACCTGCAAAAGCCCTGCTATAATTTTAAAATATTCCTGGGATTTCAAACACGGGCCAGCTTAAGGCAAACATCTCATTTTGCTAGGGAAAAGATATTATTTATATCCTGTATTTCAGAAACACGTGTGTGTGTGTGTGTGAGAGAGAGGGGGGGGAGAGGGAGAGAGAGGGAGGGAGAGAGAGAGAGAGGAAAAAAGAGAGGGGGGAGGGAAGGAGGGAGAGGGAGAGAGAGAGGAAAGAGAGAGAGAGGAAGGGGGAGAGAGAGGGAAAAAAGAGAGAGAGAGGGAGGGAGGGAGAGGGAGAGAGAGAGGGAAAAAAGAAAGGAGAGAGAGAGGGGGGAGGGAGGGAGAGAGAGAGAATATCGTCCTTGACTTACGACCACAATTAAGCCTGAAATTTCTCTTGCTAAGTGAGACATTCCAAATGTCTCACTTAGCAACTTAGGAATTTGGCCGCATTTTACGATCTTTACCTTGCCACAGTTGTTAAGTGAATCACTGCTGTTAATTTGGTAACATGGTTGTTAAGTGAATCTGGCTTCCCCATTCACTTTGCTTGTCAGAAAGTCACAAAATGGGGTCACATGACCCAGGGGCACTACAACTGTCATAAGTGTGAGTCAGTTGCCAAGCAGCTGGATTTTGATCACGTGATCATGAGAATGTTGCAACGGTAAGTGTGAAAAACTGTCATGATAAGTCACTTTTTTCAGTGCCGTTGTAACTTCAAATGGTCACTTAAATGAGCTGTTGTAAGTCAAGGACTACCTGCAAATGAATTTTTTAAAAAAAAACCCTTCACTGACTGCATGGTCAAACAGACAGCCTGTTTTTCTCAACTGTAGCCAACTCTGCATTGAAGGTACTAGTTCTTAGTAAAGGTAAAAGTTCCCCTTGCACAGATTTGCGAGTCGTTCCCGACTCTAGAGGGCGGTGCTCATCTCTGTTTCAAAGCCAAAGAGCCAGCGCTGTCCGAAGACGTTTACGTGGTCATGTGACTGGCATGACTAAAGTGCACGAATGCTGTTACCTTCCCACCAAAGGTGGTCCCTATCTTTCTACTTGCATTTTGACATGCTTTCGAACTGCTAGGTTGGCAGAAGCTCGGACAAGTAACAGGTGATCACTCCGTTACACGGCGCTAGGGATTCGAACTGCCAACCTTTCTGATCGACAAGCTCACCATCTCTCTCTCTCTCCCCCCCTCCCGCACCCACCTTCCCTCCCTCTTTCTCTCTCTATCCATGCATGCACACACACACACACACACACGCACTACACAGTACACTTTATCCAACCTGAAACTGAAGCCAAACGCAGATAGAAAAATATTTTCATAGAAACTGGAGAATACTAGATGGGAGAAAAGATGCTCTCCCTATTCCTTCTTTCAATGTTTTAAATTGATATTACTGCCGAACTGCTGACCTTTCTGATTGACAAGCTCAGCGTCTTAGCCACAGAGTCACCCTAGTTCTTAGAAATACCCAAATGATCTCCTTAACAGTATCTTACACATAAAAAAAAAAGTTGATAAGACTATCAGGTTGTTGCCAAATCCCTAATCAATTCAAATAAATATAATTAATTTAATTAATTAATTTGCCAATTGGAATGTACTATATCTCTGTCCTCGTCGAACTTGTTGAATACTTCGCACAAAGAGTAACCGTGTTTATTAACGTTATAGTAACCCTATCATTTTATATTTTTGCAAGTAGAGAATCTCCATTTGAAGCAGGCAAAGGCAGTGCCAGAGCCTAAGTTGCTCTTTCTGCAGCAGCCACATTTCAATTAAGTTAAAGCTACCTGCAATAAATCTCCTCTCATTCACTAATGACTGGCAGATTTCGCTAATGAATGACAAACACACCAAGGGTGGAAAAAATGCAGTGACTTACGACGTCCGTTGCTGAGAAACAGACAAAGTCTTCAAAGGCGCATCACACTGTTCTGAAAGACACCAAGGGGGCAGGGAGGGAGAAAAGAGAAGATTTGGGGTGATGAACATTTTGGATTTTTTGCATTGTTTTCTATTGTCTTTTCTCTTTTTTCTCTGTCTCTCTGTGACATTTACGACTTAGGCAAAACGTTTCCATTTTTATTTTTAATCCCTAGGTTAAAAAAATGTGATACTTCCAAATAGTCTCAAATGTGCCCCTTTTTTTTCTTCAAAAGGCAACTGGATTGTTTCCCCCCCCCCCCTTGTGGAATAAGAAAACGTTTCACTTCTCATCCAAGAAGCTTCATCAGTTCTGATAGAGGGGAGGTTGGGGGGAGAGAATTTTTTCTTCTTTTAAAGAAAAAAGCTCCCATTGAGATAACTATGATCTGGATGACTAAAATCTGCACAGACATTTATTTACCTCCAAACACGTTGAGGGATTTTTAAAAAGGAACTTTATAACGAGTTTGATTTGTCTCTGCCCCATTAAATATTATAAGGTTGGATAAATATAAACAGACTGAAGCTAAAATGGGCTAGCTTGAGAGAATGGTTGCCAGTAAAAATCCATTAAGCTTTTTTTTTTTAAAAGAGGGCAGAATTAATCCATGTTGCCTTCTAATATTCATGACATTGCCACGTATGAGACGTAGAAGATAATGTTTTAAAGGATAGGTGGATGATGTTTTCTAACAGCACTAGCAATTTCCATTGTCAGAATAATCTGAAGCAACAGATTTCAATATTTCATCACTGCCCCCATCTCCATAGGCATGTTCATGCTTTTCTTTTCACATCTTTTGCAATGTGCTAGTGACCCAATGACACATACATTTTTTTAAAAAAATGTTATTCGTTTTTTAAAGCTTAATTTTTATTGATCATCGCCCAGAGAAAGATGGTGGTTTTAAAAGTGTGAAATACAAACAAATACCTAATGAATGAATAAATAAATATGTCTTGTGATATCTAAAAGCAGTAGAACTGTGATGGCAAACCCATGGCATGTGCGCCCGAAGTGGCACACAGAGCCATGTTGCCTGGCACGCGCAGCACTGGCCATTCCTCTTCCGGGTTTTTGGCGTGCAGGAGCAGGCACCAATCAGCTGGCCTTTGTGCATGCAGCAGTGTCGGAAACTGGAAGAGCTGGTCTTCCATTTTCCAGCATGAGCATGTCTTCTGACCAGCTCACCTCCTACCCTGTTTCCCTGAAAATAAGATCTCCCCAGATAATAAGCCCAAACGAGCTTTTGAGCGCATGCGCAAAAATAAGCCCTCCCCTAAAATATTTAACCACATGTTCTGCTATTTAAGGGGGGAACAAACCTCACATGCACCTGCCATCCATGAGGAACAGCCTCGCAGAGGCAGTTCCCGCAAACTCTAGCTATCACGCCCCTTCTCTTACTGGCGGCTGCAAAGAGCAGCAGGCCCAGCAACGCTAGGGGCGGCAAGAGTGTGCCAGAAAGAAAGAGAACTTCCAGCCCTCCCTGGATCACCTGATCTGTGGGCCACAGGCTGAGATTAAGGGGCGTCCTGCACCACAATAATAATAAGACCTCCCCGAAAATAAGGCCAAGTGTTTATTTGGGGGGGTGAAAAGAAAATAAGACGCAGTCTTATTTTCGGGGAAATATGACAAAACTTATCAGAATCAAAGATTGCTTCACTTAATCTCTAACCAAAAGCCTGAGATGCCATTCCTTTTTTTCACATTTTATGTTACATGAATTCTGTGTGTAATCTGTGAAAATGAACAAATAACAGCAGGTTGCGGCAGTTTATAAGTTTAAACTATGGTCTTTATACTTACTCTGAATTACTGATCCAGGCTGCTGAGTTTCCTAGAAAGCAGAAAAGGAGGGATTTTTATAACAACCCAATAATTTTAGGGGTAAACATAAGCAAACTTAAGCTAAAAAAATACTGCACTAGTTACATTTCTATTTCTTCTTTATCGTAATAAATATGTATTTCTTTATAATTGCCATCATCATATTATTATAGTATTATTATACTGCATAGTACGTTCCATAGTACTAATGTTAACATTCTAAATTGAAAAGAATAGAAAACAGGGAAACTATGCATTTATTTCATTTATTTTTGTTAGGCACAAGAAACCAGGAGCCAGAATAAAGTAAATAAAGCACTGTGAGTTTATTCCAAGCAACCTATACCCAAGAATATGAATTAATAACAGCCAAGTTCCAGATAAGAATCATGGACTTTAAAGGGGGGCGGACTTGGGTCTCTTTTGCGAGTGTGTGGATTCCGGTTTGATGACGTGTTTCACCCCACCCTTGGGCTCAACCTGGTCATCTCCTACAATTTGCACTCGACACATACCACCACCTCTCATGATGACTTACAAAACTAGCAGGATAGGAACAAGCACTGGAAGAAAAATGTTTTCAATTGTGAAAGAATTGGGGCAAAAATCAAACTTCTGTTAAGAAGCAATTCCAGGATCTTATAAGTAGTTAAAAAGCACAAGTAGAATAACAGTAGCAGTTGTGAGATTATTGACATCAAATAATGGAGCATAGTGGCTCACATGGTTAGGATGCTAAATTGGAGGTTAGGAAGCCCACGTTCAAGACCCGAGTGCTGTCCTGGGATGGGGTAAGCTCCTGACTTTCGCTTTGGCTCCTTCCGGGGTCATGAAAAAAGCCTGCAACTGGGCATTCTCCGAGCAACAGTGATGTCACTGGATAATTCTTTCAACCCAGAAGGCCTCAATGCTTCTGACATGAGTGCAATGCAATTGGCATCAAGTAAGTACCTCGGGAATTATATGTCTTTGGGCATAATGAATACATCTAGTGTAGCTAATTTGTTATGGATGTCCTACACAACTCCTAAAATAAACAGGCAAGTATGACCATAATGGGGAATTCTGGGAGTTGCATTTACTCTTGTGGAGTGTATTCCCACATTGTAGAAGGCTTCGGGCATTTAGGAGTTAAGGGAAGAGAAGTTCTGAATTATGACTTTCTACTATGGAACATTTGTACATGTCATGATTGATAGGAAGACTTGCTACCTTTTCTTGAACATAAAATGACTCACCTTTTAAGCTACATGTTAAACAAAACAATGATTCCAAAAACATAAACATAACGAATATTTACATGCCCACAGAGATTAGTTCAAAGCAACAGTTGCACAAAAGAAACTATCTTTTTATGACTGTTTGTTTTGTCCTGCAAACTTTTCTTCTTTGCTAGAAACAATACATTGCTAAAATGAGTTGAATGACATGCAATTCATACATTAATTCACATAGATGGAATGAAAGATTTTGTTTCTTCACCTTTACAGGAAATGGAAACTTTGATGGCTCAGCTGTGCTAGGAGTATGGATTGCTGTCAAAGGAGGTGGCCATGAATGGGTCATTTCCTGGGAAGAAATTGAGAAGAACAATAATCAGCTCTTAATTCCTAACTTTTATGACTTCCTCAGCTGCAAAAAGAATAAGAAAATCTTCCAACAGTAACATGGGGATGTAACTGAAACATTATTTTTCTCGGCTTTTGCATCCTAGAGTTGGAAGTGATCTTTGAAACTATCATCAAAACAGTCAGACTTTGATTCCTTAATATTTGAACACTCTGCATTCAGAGAAATGCATGCTATCCTTCTCTTCTCCTTTCATATTCCTTTATCTTCTATTCCTTTCTACAATTTTGAATGTGATAAATAATGGCAATGTGTGGGGCAGCATTAAGAGAAAAAAAAGGAATATCCCAATATGTATAGGGAACCCAATCCAAATTCTAACCCTCCCTTTCTTTTTTCTGAATTTATCATATTTTTCAGAGTATAAGAGGCACCGGAGTATAAGACGCACCAAGATTTTGAAGAGGCACATCTTTAAAAAAAGTTTTTGCACTCTGCAGACCTCACAAAAATGGGCCCATTTCTTGTCAAAAATAGGGCATGCATAGCCTTTAGGAGGCTTATAGAGTGCTCCTAAGGCTGGGCGGGGCAAAAACGAGCAAAAAATGGACCTTTTTTCGCTCATTTTTGCCCTCCCCAGCTCAAAGGCTACGAACGGCCATTTTTGCAAAGGGGGCGGGGTTTTGTGAGGCCAAAAATGTTGTATTCAGTGTATAAGACACACCCAGATTTTCACCCTCTTTTTTGAGGGGGGAAAGTTGCGTCTTACACTCTGAAAAATACGGTAGTTTGTACTATCTTTTAGTATTGAAAAACTCTTCAATCAAAAGTATTTTTTTTTAAAAAAAGGAAGCCCAATCAAAATAAATTCAGTGGGGTTTTTTTTGGATTTCCAAGTTGTATTTCTTCCAACAAACCAAAGTTTGAAGCCAAATTGTTTTTGGGATTCCTGCTTTATTAAAGATAAAATAAACCACAAATTGGATTTCCTTATAAAGTTTAAGCTTGGATAGGAAGTTCTTGGTCATCTGTGCTAGGACGAGGAGCCCAGCAGGACACAAGAATGCTTTTTTTGTAACCAAGGAGCCAAAATTTCAGAGAATGATAACTCATCCGCTTGGATAAACACAGACAATGTGTTGTTTGTAGTCCTTCTATTTTATTTTAATTTTTTGGTCTGAAACCAGAAATTATTTAAAACATTCAAGATGATATTCTGCTTGAAGCCTACTGATCAAATTCTGCAGCAAAGAAACATGAGCAGCATTATAGACCGGGGGTGGGGGGGTGGGAGACACCCTACATTTTGATGATAATGATGACCCAGTCATTTAAAAAAAAAAAACATGAAATTATTACTGCTTCCTTTATGGCATCTTTTTCCACTTAATGCGAATATACTCACCTTCAAAATTTCTTCAACACAATGGGCTTCATTGGAGTAAGACTGCTGAAAAACATAAAGAGAAGAATTGTAAATCCATGAATTAGGAGTACATTCATGTACAGAAAGATATATCACAATACAAGATTTGATGTACAATATCTATTGCAAGAGAAAACAGGAGTGATGAATGTTGGCATGAGCAGCTAGTTTAAAGACAGAATTTTCTCTCCCTACTTTTTGGGTTAAAAGGAGATTATTATTTTTTTACGGGTCTTCAGTTAAACTATACAGCAAAATCTGCATGAAGACTACCGTTGACCGACCTAAGACCAACAGTGAGAAACAAGTGATTGTGTTGATTAACTGGCTGAAGTTGTGGCAGGTTACCTTAACCCACATTAATAGGAATTCCTGCACGGAGGTGAGTTATTTCATCTGCAAATCAAACCTGAGCTTCATGCCTTAAGAAGGAATTTCTCACACCATGCCATCACTGTCGTGAACTATTTTTGCTGCTGCCTGGAAAGCACACAATATATTCATCACAGGAAGCTGCTCTCTTGAGAAATAAGCTCTAGTAACTGCCATTAGAGGCTATTCTCCAAAGAATAATCCCGCTTCAACTATAGATGAAGCGGGGTTTTTTTCCCTCCTGTTTCTTTCAAGACTGATGCCACACCCCATCACTGCTCTGAATGCTCAGAAATTCACCTCCGTCCATTACACACATGCTTAAATGCTCCAGCCTTCAGAGGGAAGTAATTTTCATCTACACAGTACTGAGAATAAGGCAAGTCTCGGCATGATTCCAGCGTATTATTCCAACATGTTTTAGCTTCCAACAGGCAACTAGAGTCAAGCTTCTTCAAACAGAAGGCAAGTGCTTAAGACAACTGCTTAAAATTAAGGGGAGGGGGGAAGGGAAATCTTTAAGAAATAACATTCATAATTAAGCACTGTGTAAAGTACCAGAGTTAATCTAGCAATAACGAGAAATCTAAAACCAAAACGTTGGTGAGAAACTTGTGAACCAATATGAACATTTAGAGGAGTCCTCCCACATCTTTAGTCTTCTGGGGACCTGACCTCTCTCATCTCCTCCGTTGTTCACAACTTCAGTATAACCCGTAATTCGCTGGACTGTGTAGAGTAGGGGTGTCAAACCTGCAGCCCGCATGCATCACGTGCTGGCCACGCCCACCCCAGTTTAGCAAAGTGGAGGGAAATCACGATACATCACAGGATGACGATGTGATGACGTGAGTTTGACACACCTGGTGTATAAACTCCTCACCCCACCCGACTCCACCCCAACACACAAACTCTGCACCTTTCATCTACTATATTCTCCCTTTCTTCATCCTGTCCCTTACTCTTTTGCATGTGTTTCCTCAGTCTTCCATCTTCTTAATAATTCAATATTAGATGAACATTAACTTTCCGTTTTCTTATCATTATGTGCATTATTTATCACAAATTATTAATGAAAGCATTCCATGTCTTCATACCAGGTCAGCTATTCTGTCAGCATCACTCCATTACATAATCAGGAAAGAAAACTAAGAGACTCCATGGTTGGGAAATCCAAAGTACTTTTACTAATTATAAATGGTAAGCAAGCAGTTGCGAAGCAAAGTCTACTTAATTAGGCGTGAAAGTGATTGATATATAGAATAGTCCATTCTCCACCCCTTAGGATCATAGCTCCAGGCCAATCATAAGTCCTTCAAGTGTCAGGTGTGAGATAACTTCAAACAGGCATCACGCAGATGGAATGTCGAGGCCGTTAATATAAGTGGGAAGGTCTCACGCATGCGCTATCCGAAGAACTCGAACATCCTAGAACATTCCTCCAGCACATCAATTAACCCCTCCCAAATACCAGCCCTCCCTCCCCGTTTCATGGCAGCTGAAGCAACAGCAAGGCAGAAGCTGACATATTCTATGAAAGGTCTCCCCAGGGACCAGTCTTTTTTTTAAAACTTAGTTTGGATAATGAAATGCCTGCAAGAAAACAGCCAAGCTCAAAGAGGACCCCTCAATTCAACCCTGTGCTACAAATGTTCTCCTTTATTGGTACCAATGTACGTTTTCCCATGGATGAAACTGTTCTGACCTAGGCTTCACAAAATCACAAAGCAGATTCCTTGTCTTGACAAAACCCCTTTTTATTAAGCTAATGTGAATTCCTCTCGTTCACATCCAGCAAAGTCCTGGAAAACAGTCTTTCGAGGGTGAATTTACAACCACAGACCTTATCAGGCTTGGAGAGCTGCCAGGCCGATATCTTCCAAACACAATGCTGTACAAGAAAAGACTTAGCAAGGAGTCTCTGAGAGTCACAAACAAATCTTCACACTAATTAAACAAATTGTCTCCTGCAAACTTCACTCTCCTTTCGCTCCTCTTTATTCCCTATGGGAGGGGCCATTCACCACCTATGCATTTACTCCTGAGTCGGCCCTTGTTCCTAAACAGCTCTCTTCTTCTGGCAGCTCTGCACATGCGTACATCAGGAACAGGCTCCAGCTATTCTTCTCCTCCACTGATCTCCGACTTCAAAGGTAGCTGATAATTGTCAGACGGCCCTGGACCCATCTCTGTCTCCGACACAGAGCCCTCATCAGAGCCTTCCCCAGACTCCAGGACTGTTCCTCCCCAACCTCCTCACCATCTGAGTCTGCCACCAGCTCCGCTGGCGGGCCACAACAGAAACCAAAGTTAAGTTGTAGGACTTATTTACAAATTTTACAGTAGTGTAAGACTTCCCAGCAGGTTGTAAATAACTTCAAGGGGGATCACACTGTTGCCTCAGAACTCAAACTTGGGCTTTTGAGTATGACTCATCTAATGAAATAATTTGCTTTACTAGGAAGGGAGCACAGAAGTTCATCAGTTCAGGGGTCAGAATATCACATTATTTCAGAATCACAGGGCTATAATTTTAGAGAAAGTATGCATTGTTTCCTGCAGTAACCATCTTAACCAAATTGCATAGCGAATAGATTTATATTTAAACAAAGATCCACTGTATTTATGAGCCAGTGTGTGGAAGGCAGGATGCTCAAGATAAGTCTTTGATCAAGGCAAGATTATACTTACTGTTTCATATTGTGTTTGACTCTTGCAAGGAACTCCAAGCCTAATAAAGCTATCTGAGGTACATATTCAGCAAGTTCTCTTTTGCAACCCCTTCCCTCCCTCGAAAGTGAGACAGATGCATGCTTCCATAGAGCTTTCATTTTTGTTAGGAAAGTTCGTAAAGAAGAATTGCATACTTTATTTGATACAGTCTCTAATTTCCAAACATCATAATTGCCAATAGTCAGGAACCATTAAAAGAAAGAAAGAAGGCTTGGCTGGAAGGATGACATCTTGTCCTTTGCACGTCAATTTGACAGTCATAAATAATAGTATTTTCAGGAGAATGAGCTACAACATGCTCTAGTAAGATTGAGGAAGACTTCCTCTCTGCTACGGTTTTTAGAAAACTAGTGAGGATATGATTTTGCTCAGATAGAAATGGGTGATATTAATTATGGCTTCCTCTAATTCTTCTTCATTATCCGAGCCCTGAATTAAAGTGGATGTTTTTTTTTTCAAATCAGATAAAGAAAATCAAGAAACCACTTATTACTATATAACCTTAATCCGAATTTCTGTCTAGAGCAGTGGTTCCCAACAATTTGATTTTTAATGGGGGCAATTTGAACCTGGTTTAAACCAAGGGTAATGGCCTTTTAGGCTTCCTCCGTGTGAGTAGAGTTCACTTTTTGAGTAAAGTATGAATTATATGTCACGGGGAGGCGGGGGATCAGGATTTTAGAGATGCTTAGGTGGGGCACGGCCAAAAAAAGGTTGGGAACCACTGGCCTAGAGATATAGAAACTTGCTAAATAGCACCCAGCAGTGGGTGAGTTCGCATCTAATGGCAAGATTCAAGCCAATGGCTACCTGGCTAACATTTCACGGTGTCAGTTATACCGCCTGCAAATTCTCACTATATCACAAAGTGCTCTTGAACAAACAACAAGTCTTTCCTTTTGCTCTTCATTGAGTACAGCAAACACACAGGGCTATTTACAACACCCATAAAGCAGCACAGAGGAGAAATCGGAGGCTCAGAAAGGAAACCAGTTCAAGATATTGCTTATATGATTTTTTATGACCCAATCCTGAAAGGTTTTATTCCTAGTCAATGTATTCATTTTCTCTTTATTTTTATTAACTTGCCGAACCAGTCAATAAAAAAGGGAGCTTGTTTTCATGCCCATTAGGCACGTGACACAGGCAAAAGGACGGCTATTACTAAACACTGTGAAGTGCACGCAAAATTTCCAAGTTTCACAAGACCACTAGGTTAAATGTAAACATAGCATATTTTCTCTCCAACATGGTGGGCTCCGATTTCTATATCCAAAGAGGAGCCTCTTTGGAAAGAGATGGCAGGCCTTCATAGGCATAAACAATTAAAATTTGTATTGTCATAAAATCAGGAACGAGTCACTTAACATCTGCCTTGCTTAGCAACAGAAATTCTGGTTCCAGTTATGGTTGTAAATTGAGGAACACTTGTCCATAGGTAAAGGTAAAGGTTCCCCTCTCACATATGTGCTAGTCGTTCCCGGCTCTAGGGGGCAGTGCTCATCTCCGTTTCAAAGCCAAAGAGCCAGCGCTGTCTGAAGACGTCTCTGTGGTCATGTGGCCGGCATGACTAAATGCCGAAGGTACACAGAATGCTGTTACCTTCCCACCAAAGGTGGTATCTATTTTTCTACTTGCATTTTCACATGCTTTCGAACTGCTAGGTTGGCAGAAGCTGGGACAATGGAAACTCACTCCGCTACGTGGTGG